CAAGTCATTATGTCGAAAAATGAACTTTACAACTTTGGGGGAGATGGGGAGAGATGGGAAGGGGAAACAAAGGAGGAGGCAACAATGTTTGATAAGAAATGTACTCATTATCTTGCCCATGTAATCTTAATCCCTCTATAAGATATTTTTACACACACACACACACACACACACACACACACACACACACACACACACACACAAGAGTTGCCACATAACAAAGCAGTTTATGGACGCAATACATTTTGATAAATGTCACCCCTTTCAACATTCTCACTCCGTCCCTCCCAAACCTACCATTCCCTCACTTTCTTAATTTTGTAGGATATGCATTGAATTCTGGATTACATTCTCCCCCTACTTCATTCATCTCCTCCTCTCCCTAGGACCCCATCCTACCCCTTTTAAGTACCCATTTCCTGGTGTTCATCTTGTTGAACTTAGACTTTGCCTTTCTAAGGGATTAGACTACTTGAGTTCTCCTTCAAATATACCATATTTAGTGAATATATTTTACATACACTTGCATACCACCTAATGTGTTTACTTATTTTATAAGCTAATTCTAGCTTCCACATATGAGGGAAATATGCAAACTTCATTTCTCTGGGTCTGACATACTTCACTTAGCATAATTTTTCCCAGGCTTTTCCATACTAATTTTGTTGCAAAGAGAAGATGCCATCTGAAGTGTGAACACACCTCTAGTGTTAGATGAAGAAGATATGGCTAAGAGACAAAATGGGATAACGACTGTGTTTCCACTGTAATTTAGCTTCTTTCTATCATTTTTCTATCTCATATAAAATTAAATTGATTTTCTAAATTCAATTGGCATTGTGTTTATATGAAAACCCATCACCTTTAAACTATGACAAATCCAGATATACCAGCCTAAATACAAGTATGTCTTAATAACAAGAGTAATTTTTTTCTCTGAACAGACCTTTCCTTATGAATGGGTGATTATCTAGCCCAGTTGAAGCAGCCAGGTATGTTAAATCTGAGGAAAGCATGTGGCTTTCTCATGCCTGATGCTTCTTGGAATTCCACCAAACCAGCTATGTTTCTTGCCCTTACTTTTCACTTCAAGGAAATTGGTTAGGTAGGTGTTATATTTCAATCTGATTTTTATACTACTTGTACAAGAACAATTTTTTTGAGTACAGGTTTTGATAGCCAAAGGTTGATGAAAAAAAAGCAAAAGTGACCAGGAGCTTGGGGAACAGGCAAAGGCTCCTAAGAAGAAGACAAAACATACAATGGAATGACAGCAATATTCCTGCTAGAAACAATTTCTTCAACTTATACATCCATATAGGTCCAGCCACAGTTGAATTATAAACCCAGCCCAGAAGGCTAGCAAATTTTTATAAGGGTGTGTTCTTGGAATAGAAGAACCACACTCTTATCAGTTGCTCATGGTAATTGTAATGGAATATTTGTTTCCAGGGCTACCAAGGTAAATTGCCTCCTGATATTCTCTCTTTTAGGGATATAGAAAGACTAGCTGGTAATGTTAAGAATGAGACATTGTACCAACTCTAAAGTTCAAGCAGGCTTCATCTACTTCAGAGAGTGCTTTTGATATCTGGACTAAAAGACACCCTAAGATCACTGCTTTAATGATTACTTTTCTTCTTTTATCACAATTTCCCTTAACTCCATCAGTAAGAATAACACTGCAGAGATGAGGATTGTTGGCTTAGAGGTCATAAGCGTGTGAACCCCATTTTATCTTTACTTTGGAATTATATTTCTTTAAATATTGCTTTCAGAGAAAAAAAAATCAATGGATACAAATAGAAAATGCCCAAGTATATAGACTTTTAGGTGAAATGCTTGAAACATTCAGTTTCTGAAAAACATCAAAGGCACATATATCTTCTTCTAGGGACTAAAAGAAAATGAGCCATAAAATAAATTTTTTCATATGAACAATATTTTTTTTGTTTATGGGGTTTGAACTCTGGGCTTGGGTGCTGTCCCTGTGCTCTTCAGCTCAAGGTGAGTGCTCTACCACTTGAGCCATAGTGCCACTTCCGGTTTTCTAGTGGTTTATTGGAGATAAGAGTCTCACGGACTTTCCTGCCCAGGCTGGCTTTGAACTGTGATCCTCAGATCTCAGCCTCCTGAAGTAGCTAGGATTATAGGCGTGAGCCACCTACACCCAGCTATATGAACAATTTTTATCTTCTCATATCCCATCCGTATTTGCTTTCCCTAATGTGAGAGTTGAGATCTTAATACAATTAGAAATTTATTTGGGAAAATGGAAAATATTGTATAAAAGAATGTTGATATAAAGGTACAAAAATACTGCGTTAGAAAATGCAGCAAGAGATTTATATAGAGGAGCAAAGTCCTATGATTTCCATATGAGTAAATTAATAGGCATACCCCAACAATGTCAGTGTTTATGCACTACATACAATATGAATTATGAAGAAAAACTTCAAAAATACATTTTGTCATCAAGGGAATTACCACCTTTTAAATATATGAATTAAAATATATTTAAATTTTTTGCTTGAAAAATAAAATGAAAACAATGTGTGCTTTATTTTATGTGTGCTTTATTCTATAGGAATTATACTGATCTTTAAGAATATGAGAGTTGCATAAGTGTCTGAAAAATGCATAATGAAATGATAAATAAGAAGACATCAGAAAAATTGCTTCCTTATGGTACAGGGACATGTCCTGTGAGTTCCATCAAGTGGACACAGGAAAGAAGAACAGGTAAACACATCAGAAGAGAAGCAATACATTTTATTAAAACATTACACATCAAAAATACAGAGAATAAAATGATTCAAGAAATAGTTTCAAGCATTTAAACTTATTATCATTTAAGTCAAAACACATAATACTAAGCTTAATTTCAAGTCTAGGCCAATATTTGATCATGGTTTTACCTTCTGATAGTCATGAATAATTTCTCCAGATGACCAAGTTGGCTTGGAATTATAAAGAGGCATAACAGTGCTCATTGATATTCAGTGAAGTTGTATCATTGGCACAATATTGTGGGACCAATTTCTTGTCCTCTGTGAATTGCTCAACACTCTGAAGTTCAAGATAACACTCACTGATTTACCTCAGTTCAATATTTTAGTATCTTCATACTCCAGTGAGTGGGGTTTGATTAAACAATGGCTTGTTGGACTATAAGGAAATGTAGGTGTACAGTAAATTATATAACAATGTGTAATCTTGCTTATTCTAGCCTGCCCAAAAGAGGTTGCTGTCTCAAATTGCAAGGGATTTGGAAAGCTATAGCCAATGTTGTAGTGGTTCATTTGGGATGCTCTAGAGTCAAAATGTCTGTATTTAATTTCCCAAACCACAGTTCATCTTAACTTAAACTCTATTTATCTTTTGTCCTCGTCTACAAAAATGATAATGGTAAGGATTAAACAGGCAAATGTGTACTATTTACTTATGCTATCTATAGTCATTTGCCTTAATCTCCTTGCTTACTGGCCAAGAGAAACTTCTAACTCTTGGGTCCTAGTTGAACAGCACTTCCTCCAAAACTTTTTATCTGTAATGCTTAGCAAACTGGATAATTCATGGCATGTGGGCAGTTACAAACACATGATTACTATTACTTAGTTATTTTTATAAGATTTTCACTAAACACTGTAAAATTCTCTTATGCATGGCTATAGCTAAAAGGGTTATTCAGAGAAATAAATATTCTCCTGTAACTCCTGCAAGGTCTTCCTAGTTGTTTAAATTGTGAAGCTCTTCAGAAGCCTCAGAGAAGGGAAACACTATTTGGTTAGACTTGGGAGTGAACTGTGACCATTTTTTAGCATGCACAAGTAAATTTTCATAGCCAAGATGAACATTCATCTTGACCATACTATTATATTAATTAAGTAAAAATGAACATAAAGGGTACTTAGAGAAAAGTGGTTGTTCTACCTACAGTGTTTTTTTATGTCAACAATATGAACGTGTAAAACTTTGAAAGACATGCAGAAAGAGTTGTTCTTTTCTTTCTGCAATTGGCTTAGTTGATCCATAAGATTTATTCCTGGTTATAACCTGCCAGAAATAGATGTTTCCACAAATGGACACAAAATCAAACCAGGAATGTATACTTCTGAGCTTAGCAAGTAGCTTGTAATGGATGACATGTTGGTATATGATTACTACCAACTAGCTCAGTCTCACAATATGTAGGAAAACTTGCATTAAAATCAACATAAAGGGACTGGGAAGGTGGCTCAGTGGTAGAGTGCTTGCCTTGCATGCGTGAAGCCCTGGGTTCAATTCACCACATAAGCAAAAAGAAAAAAGCCGGAAGTGGTGCTGTGGCTCAAGTGGTAGATCACTAGCCTTGAGCTGAAGAGCTGAGGGACAGCGCCCAGGCCCAGAGTTCAGACCCCACGACCGGCCCCCCCCCACAAAAAAAATCAACATAAATTTCAATATAAAAAGAATGGTTGAGAAGGATGGTTGAAGATTTTATACAAATTTAATATCCTTATTCAAACTAAGATTAGATGTATTTTTATTATAGATTTTTCTAAGACTTGGAATATATGTGTATGTGTATGCATTGTGTGTATGATACCTTAGACACTTAAGTCTAAATATGAAAATAATTTATGTGTTTTTTAAAAACATGTGGAAGTCATGTAGATAGATAACTAATATATGGCTGATTTCTCACTGGCTTTGCTATAGTTGATACTTCTGAACTAAGCAAGGTAATGAGTGAGAGCTCTTTAAAGAATTCTCTTTTAATTTTATTTCTTTTACTTATTTTTATTCATATGGCACTGAGGAATTGAACCCAGGGTCTCATACATGTTAGGCAAGTACTCTACCACTACACCACATTCCCAGCCCTTGTTTATGTTTTATATGTACATTAAACATATAGGTTGAAGGTAGATTTTTTTTTTAAATTTTACATCAACTTTATTCTCAGAGCCAACCTGTGTGAGTTAACAAATCCCCATATTGCCAACTATTGTAGGAATTATAATCCTTATTATTTGTACCAAAATCTCACACTCAACAACGAGTTCTGGTTGCAAAAGAGGATTTACTGTTTGCACTTGTTTGTAAAGCTTTGTTACAAATTAAACACACACACACACACACAAGTGCTACTGGCACAATATTTTTGATGTACCTCTGTTACAGACACATGAGGTCAAGTACGGAAATTTATGTTGTGGTCTGCATCATGCTCTAACAGATTTTACAGAATTTCAGATTTTATATTTTTTAATTAAGTATAAAACCTGTATAAGATTTTTGTTGTCACATAAGCCACATTTTTTTTGGAAATCATTCCTCAGTGTTTTTCTAGAATATACAAGCACAAGAAGGGGAGAATTAACCTGATGAAAGTTTAATATATGCAGGTGTGAATTTCCATGATGAACTCTCTTTGTCCAGTTTGTATATACCAACAAAATATGTAATGTGATTATTATTTCAAATAATAATACTCAAAGGATTCATTGTTTAGTCATCAATTAATTAATGGAAAGTAGTGAATGGTTGTGTCATCTGACTGAATAAAAAACATATCAATATTTCTGGACATATTGATACTAAGTTCATCTTTACACTCATAATTATTGCCCACTCATAATACCCAGCTCTCCTTTAATGGTGATTTTGGAAAAATATCATAATGTCATCCTCACTAAACCAACTAAATATACTTCACTAGTTTCATGTATTTTTGAATTGATAATTCATTTGCCTGAAAGAAGATGACTTGATTTTTAAACTTACTTGGTTTGCTCAAGCTGAAAGCCTTGAGCAAAAAATCTCAATTGCTATTCTATGACTCCTATCAATAACATGTCAACAATTCTAAGCATTTTTACCAAAAACAATGATGCTCTAATTTTCTGTCGTTATTTCTACTTTCTTCTTTGTCAGTGATAATTGAAAGAAAAATAAATCTTTCTCTCTTTTTAATAATGATATCCAAGCGAACAAATTTTAAAACAGTAGATGAAAGACATATGAACATCTTCCAGAATCCATCTTTTTGTCTACCTTTTTAAAGTAACTTAAGAAGGAAGTCCTAATGATATCATCTAGAAAAGGTAGATCAAGAATGGACCTTTCAAAATTAAGCCTTCTCTAACCAGGGTATCCAGCTAGTCAATTTTTTTTCTAGCTTTTCTTAATTGATTTCCTCTATTTTAAAATATTGATATTTCAAAAAATTGATTTTGTTTCTCTTCCTACCACCTCTTACTTTTAAAAAATAAAATTAACCTGACATCAATGTATACTTTAAAAGTAAAATTTGTAGCTTGTCTTGGTAAGAAATGATAGTGTAGCTGGGTGCTGGTGGCTCACGCCTGTAATCCTAGCTACTCAGGAGGCTGAGATCTGAGGATCACAGTTCAAAGCCAGCCCAGGCAGGAAAGTCTGTGAGCCTCCTATCTCCAGTAAACCACTAGAAAACAGGAAGTGGTGCTGTGGCTCAAGTGGTAGAGCGCTTCCCTAGAGCTGAAGAGTATAGAGACAGTGCCCAAGCCCAGAGTTCAAGCCCCATGACAGACTAAAAAAAACCCTGGAAAAACAGAAATGATAGTGTATACATAAATATTTAAAATAGCATCACAAAGAAGTTTTTTTTTTTCCTCTAGAGAGACAAGTCACTACTTTTCGAACCTAGGTGCCTAAGGACAATAGCAGCTCTCTATTTCTCCCGATTTATGCATTCACACATCTCAGTTGTTTTCTGACAAATTTTTTTTCTATAGGAAAAGAATATTGTGAATGTAAAGTTGTTAACTCTAATCATCAATTCTTTGTGTTAAAAAAGGAGAAAGTAGGTCCTTTTATCTTTCCCTCCCTCTTTTACTTCCTTATACTTTTTTCACTTCCACAATCAAATAAGCAGAATTTGTAAAGAAAGAAAAAAAAACCTGAACACTTCACACAGACATGTCATCAAGGAATGAAAGGAAGTCACTGGTCTAGCCTGAGGTTAAAAGAGGAAAAGGGAAAGCTATTAGTCCTTCTTACAACACTCCTTCACTCAGATTACCAGGAATGCCACAGATCAGAAAGCTGGTAGCACTAATAGATAGGGACTGTTAAATACTAGATTGAACATTTCCGGTTTTAAGACAGTTAAATGAAATGGTCTAATTGCTATGGAATTTTGAAGAGAGATTTTAGCAATGCCAATAGTTTAATAAAAAGGCTACCAGAGCATATTCAGATAGTATTTAAGCTACCTTTTCCCCAATGCTTGGATGCTACCCAGTGACTTAAACTATCTTACAGATTTCCAGGAATGAACATTATCAGAGCTGTCATTTTTCTCATTTGTAAAATCAGGACAAATAGTATGTACTTTGTTGTCTGGATTTAAAAGGAACAACGTATGTTAATATTCATCCAGTCAGGTGAATTCAACAAAGGCAGATTTTATTATCAATACAGCAATATCAACTTTTAGATTATAGAAATACAATGAAACAATTTTAAAGATAGTAATACTATATTACCTTTTAAAACCAAGATATAGGATGAAACAGGCTCTTGTTGATTTCTTGAGATCATCAGTATTACATGCTGTAAAAGAAATGCCAAGAATATTCAATGTACTTATGTGAAAAGAGAACCAGGTAAATGTAGGAAATGGGTGGGGTTGGGAGAGTTGGACAGGAATGGTGGTAGGGGTGACACTGATCAAGCTGTAGTGTGCTCATACATTAGCATCTTGAATTGAAACTCCTTTGTAAAAGTACTTAAATATAATAAAAAAGAAACAAAGAGGGATAAAAAGTAAAGCCAAAAATATATTTGAAAATGGTTTCACAGCTCTATATGAATGTCTGAACATGTGAGAAATCTAACTTTCCAAGTGAATAACCCTGAATTTCCTTCTTAATGCTGTCACATTTAAAAATTAATAATGGAAAGTATCTTCCATTTAAAGGCCTAAATAGCAGTCTATATTTTATTCTGATAACTCTTGTATGAGGTAAAAGTAACTTACACTGAAAATAGAGAAACAATCATGAAGAAATAATTACAGTTCAAAAAGATTTCTCAAATCTGAAGTTTTAATAAAAATATGGATCAACTTGGGAAATAAGAGATAGCCAGGAGCAAGTGATATTATTGAGCATATGAGGTTAACTGAGAAAAAATAGAGGTTACAAGCAAAGCATCCAAGTTAATGGCAGAAGATTTCAACCCAACAGAAAGGCTTTGAGACAAGAAATTAATAGCTAAAGGGACAATGAAGCAGAGGACATTAAAGCTCATCCCAGACTCACAGGATAAAACCCTCCAAATTATGTATTTTAAATTAGACTGGGAAATTTATTAGTGTATGGAAGGAATTTTAAACAGGTGTCGTAGGCAAGTTGGAATTAAGGAAGATATCATACTAGATTAAATAAATTAATCCTGAGGTCAGGTTTCACATACAGATTCCTGGCAGGGAGCCCTCTTATTGCTTAATACCAAGAGGATAGAGCTCTATGGAAAGGTGAAAATGGAGCTCATATTTCATTTGGGGAAAGGAGAATAAAACATCACAAAAGGTTTTGTGCTTCCCTACTGCTAGGGAACAAGAGAGCTTGGTTCAGAGGAAGGTTAAACTGGAGGACCATCTTCTGTAGATGCAACAATAGGTTAAAGCTTCCTGATTGCATTTAATTATTTTTGGAAGCTGTTGGCAAAATAACTGTTGCAATTATAAATAATGCAATATGCCAGGATAATCTAGAGCTTTGAATTAAAAACAACTTTTACCAGGGCAACTTTGTGTTAAGAGCAACACGATGAAACCATTAAAAATAATCACAATTAGAATATATGTTACAATGGATGCTTGGAGGCGGATGTAGAAAGCAGCAGCAAGCAAATGCTTGATTGGATTTCATGCTGGAGATATAAAGAAATTTTGACTGGTTTAAATGTTCAGGCTGTGATTTATAATAATTATAGAAGAGGAACTATTGGTGCTTAAACTATGAGTATGTTGCTCTTCTTTATCTGCATGTGTTTTTCAGGTAAATTGAGTAATTTAACTTGTCATTACTGTTCCTATTCAGGAAAGATATAATTCAATAAGTATTTCCTCAATATCCTATGCCTGGTACCAAGGTAAATATACAAAAGGTGAAAGGAACCTGGGCACCAATAGCTCAGGCCTACAATCCTAACTACTCATGAGGCTGAGACCTGGAGAATAACTGTTCAAGGCCAGCCCAGGCAGAAAAGTCTACAAGACTTCCTGTCTAACTAACCAGTAAAATGTAGGACTGGAGGGACTGTTTGAGTGGTAGAATGCCAGCCATGAGCAAAAAAAAAAAAAAATGCTGAGGTAGAAATCAAGGCACTCCTTTCAAGCCCTGATACTAACACAAGCAAAGCAATACAAAATGGTAAACAAGAATTCACTGAAAGGTAATGACCACTGCCTTTCAGCAATGTTGGAGCCCAGAAATTGATGCCTCAAAGTACGGTGCTTGGCTTGAGAGTTTGAAACTACAGGACAGAAACCATGTATAAGACTTTCTCCTGCCCCTCTTTCTCTTGCTCCCCTTTCTTCTTCAGAGTAGGCCATATAAACCAGAATTCATCCTTCTTAGGATGGAAACTGGCAACCTTAGCTAGCCAATGTACATAGAAATATTATTCGGATCTTCCTTCATCTTTCTATATAAGACCTGGCTGTTTCTAACCTATCTGCTCTGTACCCGGGAGGAAGAAATTCTACAGAGACGACAAGAAGAATCACAATGAACATTCCTTGCTGGATTTTTCCTCCTTGTCTATTGCTATCAATAGTCCTTTTGGCCCAATAACAATTCTATATGGCTTTCCATTCTTCAGCAACTCTAAACATAAAAGTAGGCAATTTTCTTTGAAGGTTTGGGGTTTTATTTCTGAAAGCTTCCACAAGATTCAAACCTTTGATGTAATAAATCTGTTGTGCTTTACCCTTCTAGCCTGTTTTTTTTTGTCGTGTAGGACTGTGACTCCTAAGATGGAAGGAATGATATCAAACCTTTCTGTGCCTATAGGCTGAAAGTAAAAATTGGAGTTCAGTCAGTGATATCAAGTATTGTACAATAGACTACAAAACTCTAAGGAACTGCAGAGGCAAGG